ACCGCCGGCCAGCCCGAGACGCCCGCTCAGCCCCCCGGCACGCCTCAGACCCCGACGCCCGCCCCCGCGCCCACGCCGCCGCAACCTCAACCCAAAAAGAATCTCTCGCTGACGGTAAGGGGGTCACCTCCGCGTTGCCCGTTCACTCTCCACGGTAGCTGGAACCGAAACCCATTTTGATTGTCCGCACTTCTCAGAGGGACCAGATGTATGCTGCTCAGGAGATGTTCAAGACGGCCAACAAGGTCACCAGACCGGAGAAGGCCCTCATCTTGGGCTTCATGGCAGGATCCAGAGGTAACGTGCGCGCTCGTCCAGCCAAATGTCGATTTGCGTGGCCAAGTAACAACATGGGGAGATGGACGCAGATTTACCCCAAGTGCCTTCTTGACAGTAACGGCGACTTGTCTCCTCCTTGACGTTCATAACAATCCAGTGATCGCTGTGAGATCGGAAGTGGTCTCTGTTGTTTTTCAGAATAAGAGCACAAGACGGGAAGATAAGTCAACGTTGTTCTTTGTCATTTGTAACTTGTACTCCTTGTCACGATTTAAACTCTTATTTGACTGAAACCATTTCCTCTTACTTTGGAAAACGAGGCTCAACATGGTTTCTCATGTTATGGAGCAAACTCGTCACCGAATCATCATGAATTTGCTTGCGCGTTTTCCGCTCTGTCAATTTGAAAGACGATCGTGTTTGTCACTGGGTGGAATTCATCGGTAGATGAACCGACGATTTCCCCCCCCCCCCCCTCGCAGAGAACCCGTGCCCGGAGCAGGGGGACATCATCCAGATCAAGTTGAGCGAGCACACGGAGGTGTTGCCCAAGGCGGACGGCACGGGCAGCACCACAATGCTGGTGGACACGGTCTTCGAAATGAACTACTCTACGGGTCAGTGGACCCGGCTGAAAAAGTACAAGCCCATCACCAACACCTCCTGAGAGGCGCAACAGGTGGACTCCACTCGCTCACCACCCCATTCGCTCACGTTCACACGTTGCCATTCGGTCCCAAACGAGCTGGCGGCAGGAGAGAAGGTCCTTCCTCCCGTGCACACACACGCAGGATATCTTTGCATTCGGCGTCTCCCAACCCCCCTCCACCTCATTTAGTCCTGGCAGCAGTGTGAATGTTTGGCAACACACAGAGCCGTTCACTATTTTGTTTTTTCTCCCCCCCCAGACGTAAGGAAAGAAAATAAAATGACAGCAGACTGTTCAGACTTTTTGTTGACGAGTCTTTTTATTTGGAGCGCAAAAGCACGGCAGTTGATTTACACTCACGGAACCGACGTTGCAAAATGGATTCCTAAGGCTGTGATGTTGTGCCGCGGCGCAGCCAATTTCAATCCATTGGCCCCAAAATGATTAACCCAAAATATCTGTAAGCCATGAACGTGTACATACAATAAGTCAATAAGACGACAAATAATGGCGCGCGCGCGCGCGCACACACAGTGAGTGCATTGAAATTGGATCGTTTCAGGAAGTACTACCGGTGTCGTGTTTTGGTGTCAAATGAAGTCGCCGCCTGCGTACATTTGGAAATCATCTTAGACGAGGAACATTCAGCATCGCTCCACTTAAGTCCCACCTCCCACCAATCGGCACAAATGTCCTTAAATATTAGAAATCATTGAATCGGCCCAAGTGTTGTGATTAGAGCAAATGACCATGCTATCGGAGTACTTTCGCAAATAGTGAAAAATGAACCCCCCTTAAAAAAAAAATGTAAGACTGCACATATAAAAGGTAGCTATGATTACCAAGCACTTGATCTTCTCATTTTACATTCCCCTTACAAATAAATGGCATCTGTTAATTTCACCCGCAGAGGATCAACATGCCCACGCAGCAAACTCTCCGTAACTTCCGCTAACAACCCAGGCTAAACTTTGCTCCTCCCCAAAGTACAAACATCTCTCACTGTCCCAGAGGTACAATGTCACCAATGTTTTTTTTTTTAAACCACTGCCCTATTAGCCCCATCTGAAGAAGAAAGAAAAAAAAACTTGTATTTGTAAATATTGACCCTTGACTCAGTCGCAATTCACGATACGTATATGCTCGATGTAAAATCATTAGTAGCCTTCTACGAGGAACATTCAGTGTCACCTCCATCAATTGGCATGAACATCTGTAAAAATCACGGACAAAGAAAACGTTTTTTTAAAAATTGAGGGGGAGTCAGGTTTAGGATTTTTTGCCTTTTGCAACTATCCCCCACAAACGGACTAACGGCTACACCATTTTCATCCTGTGGATGTCAGCTGGAGGCTCCCTCCAGCCTCCGAAGGCATTTTCCAGGTAGCGGGCCACGGCCAGAGGCAGCCGATCCTGCAGCTTCCCGCTCACCACCTGCACGCCCATGGGAAGACCCTCCCCGTTCAGCCCCAAAGGGCACTGGGTGACCGGCAGACCCAGGATATTGATGATACCTAGGGTGGAGGTGGGGGAGGGGAGAATGACTCGACATATTTTCCCACAAAAGGAACGGATCACCTGCGCCGTGGCGTACCCGTGTAGGCAAAGTCAAAGGGTCGAAAAAGCGCGTGGTGGTGCTTCGGTGCCACCCTGGGATGCGACGGGTAAAGAAGCACGCCGTCGGTCCCCAGCAGCTCCTCCACGTCCTTCTGCAGCTTCTCCTTCAACCCGACAAGGAAGGCGGATGGTCTGGACCATGACGTGTTCTCCAAAACGGACACGCCTGCGGACGTCACGCGCACAATCGGCGTGTGTCACGCGCACACACACAGGTAAGGGTTGCGGTCACATGTCGACACTCACCAATGGCAGCGACGGTATGGTCGGATTTTCCCAGAAGACTTTTCAGCGCCTCCCACATGGGCCACATGGGCCGGCCCGGCTCCCCAAACTGCTCAGTTATCGGGACCGGAGGCTGCAGGAGAAGACGAGTTAGTTTGGCGAGCACGTGGCGAGCGCGGCGGGCGTCTCCTCGCACCTTGCCCTCCTTGTCCGGGAGAGACATGTAGGCGTCCCAGATGCGGAAGCCGTAGCGGAGCTCGGGGAAGCGCACTTCTTGGACCGACAAGCCGAGGTCCGCTTCGAGACGCTCCACCACCTGAGATGATCGTTTTCAGCAGAGGTGAGAAACAGTTTTGAGACGTGTCTCTTATTTTGAGGGTGGATCACTGGTTTTCAACTTGCAGCGCGGGTGAGAAGTCAACATATGCTGGGACGCAGATATATTAGGATGCAAATAATTTTGAGATTGGCTCACCCGTTTCTGGATTTCTCGGAGTTCTTTGCTGACTGGGGACACCAGGGGAGAACCGCCGTCGTCAGGGATGTTAAAAAAACGCAACTTTTTGAGCTCCACCTTCTCGTCCAGGGACAACCTGCGCAAACGCACACAATCCGAACCTACTGGGCCATCCCGGCTGCGACTGCGAAAGTACGGCGGCTCACATCGGCGCGTTTGGCCCCGCCATGATTTTCAACATGGGCAGCAGGTCCTCAGCGTAGCGGCACATGGGCCCCGCGCTGGCGTACTCTTCGTGTCTGCCCGAGTACGGCGGGTACTGGTTCTCATTGGACACCACGCCTGCACGGGGTTCAAAAACCGCAAGTGAGGGTTTGCGTGAGGGCAGAGTGGGACCGCGAGGATCAAAAAACGCCAACGCTCCAGCACATACGCCATCACGAGCCCACGTTACATCGACGACTGACTTCAGTCGTTTAACTCTTCAAACACTAGCGCCACCTTCGCACGGGGCTCATTAAGAGCGTCCGGTAGCATCCTGGCGTAAATCGCACGATGAGCTTACCGGGTGTGGTTTTATGGCCAAACACTCCATTGAAGAAGCACGGCATGCGGATGCTGCCGCCGATGTCGGAGCCCAGTCCAATGACGGCGCCGGCCGCCGCCAGCAAGCTGCCCTCGCCACCTTTTGGGGACACAGTGGGCAAGGTGGTCGACCCGCCCTCGTTTTGTGAAAATCTGCTCTATACTGTCGTAAAACCCTGACTACGTGCTATAAAAAAAAAAAAAAAATCATCAACTTTTGTCATTTTGCAGTTCAGAGCATTTTATTTATTTTTTTAAAAAATTTTTACACCACACTTGCTCAAGTTGCATGTCTGGTAAACATCGTTGGCTAACTGACTACACGCTAGCACCGCCATTATGAACGAAAGGCAGTCTCGAGATGGTTTGGATGCAGGCAGGTTGAAAACCTTTCAATCGCTTCATGAAACAAGTGGCAACAAAATGCAGCAATCGAAGCACATTCTCAGCCATCCTGCCGGTAGCCTCAAGCGATCCCATCACCGAACACCACGGCGGCTAACGCCAGAGCCCGCAAGTAGCCGGCCAGTACCACAAACCCAATTCCAATGAAATGGGGACGTTGTGTTTAACCAAAATCCCATGAATAAAATGACTAACAAATCATATTCAACCTGTATTTGATTGAATACACATCAAAGACAAATATTTAATATTCAAACCGACCAGTTTTATTGCTTTTAGCAAATTATTAACTTTCGATTTCATGTTTCCCACTGTGTTACATTACCAACATTTAGGAAACGTTTGGGAACTGAAGACACCAATTGTCGAAGCTTTGTGAGTGGAATTCTTTCCCCTTCTTGCTTGATGTACAACTTCAGCTGTTCAAGAATCTGGGGTCTCCGTTGTCCTATTTTATGCTTCAGAATGCGCCACACATGTTCAATGGGAGACAGGTCTGGACTGCAGGCGAGCAGTCCACACCTAGGTTCATTGGAGTTCTTTTCCTCCAATGAACCTACGCTGTTGTAACATGTGCGGAATTTGCTTTGGCATTGTCTTGCTGAAATAAGCAGGGGCATCCAGGAAAAAGACATTGCCAGGATGGCAGCATGTTTCTCCAAACACGGGATGTACCTTTCTGCATGAATGCTGCCTTCACAAATGTGTGACTTACCCATGCCATTGGCACTAAAACAGCCCCATACCATCACAGGTGCTGGCCTTGAACTTTGCGCCCGTAACAGTCCAGATTATTATTATTTTTTTTTTTTACCTCTTTGGTTCACAATTTCCAAAAACAATTTGAAAGCTTTGCTTGTGACTGACTGAGCAATTGAGGGAAGCTCCTTTTCAAGCCAATGGTGGCACCCACTTGTTCTCAGTTAGCCTGTTTCACCTGTGGGCTCTTCCAAAACAGGTGTTTGATGAGCAGTCCACTACTTTCCCCAGTATTTTTTTGCCATCTGGCCCAGCTTTTTAGGGAACAGCTGTAAAATTCTATGTTAATTACTTTCCAAAAACAATAAAGTTTATCAGTTTGAACATAAAAAAAAAAAAAACTTTTTGTAGTGTATTCACTTCAATCAAGGTTCAGGATGATTTGCAAATCATTGCATTTGGTTTTGATTTATGTTTAACACAATGTCCCAACTCCAATGGAATGGAGTTTTTATGTCCTCCAAAAAAAAAAAAAAAATTTGCTATGCCTCACGTGTACCAGTTGGTCATGAACTCAAAGTCTGACCACGCAACAGATCAGAACCCAAAATTCACTCACCCGAGCTCCCCCCCGGCATCCTTTCCAGGTCGTAGGGATTGCTGGTGATGCCGTACAGGTGGTTGTGCGACTCGGCCCACATGCAGCCCTCGCTGGTGTTGGTGACGCCCAGCGGGATGGCGCCCGCCCTCTTGAGCAGGGCCACGGGCGGCGCGTCGGCCGCCGCCAACACTCCTCGCCTGGACACGATGCCACTGGTGTGGGGCATGCCTGCGACCGGCGAGTAGCAAAGGTTGGACGAGTCAGTTATTCATGACAGCAAACCAGAACGTGTTACCAAATTACATTTTGCATTCAGGATTTTAGGCACAACAAACATTTGACAAACTTGTTTTTCTGTGAGCGTTTTTTTTTTTGTTGCCTACTCTTCACTAATTTCAAGCTACCGGACAGCCCGATGGTGGGAAAAAGATTGCAAGGTTGTGAAAACAAAAAAAGTCTGTATGATAGGTTACCTTGGAGACCGAAGGACTCTTTGACCGAGAGAGGCACGCCGAGGAAAGGCAGCCGATCGGCCAGCACCTCCTCGCCTCCCGGTTCCTCATCAATCAACTTGTCGACCTGCGCTGCTTCCTGGAGCGCAGCAGAGAACCTGAACGGTGGCGTGTGTGTACATAAGGTACATTCAGTTTGGAAAATGGCTCGACCGGATAATTGACTGCTCAAATTCTGTTTAATCAATATCTACATATTAACACATCACACCATAGAGACAAATGGCATTCAAACATGACCTCCCTGAAGCAATCCAAAATTCTTAGTCGTTTTACACACACACACACACACACACACGTTTTTTTATATTAATCCGCCGATTAATCAGTAACCGGAATTCTATTCTGCCGAATAGATTCGCGCCTCGCCCAGGAAAAAAAATCGTTCAGGCCCTCGTTCCGAGTTCCCACAAGTTTTCGTTGAGTTTTTACACTCTGTTGCGAGCACAAATACGTATCGATGCCGGGGGCCAGCGCCGCAATCGACCACCCGTTTCCCAAACTCCCCCGGCAACGCCTCAAAGTTAACGCGCATGTTGGCGTTAGGAATTACACTGTAATTGTGTAATTGTGCTATACTGTAATTATTACAGTATATGCTTAAATCGAGGACCAACAAAGGAGTGATGTGGAATTTGGACAATATCTCCTTGGGGGGAGTTGAAAAAAAAAAGAAACGTACCTGTCTTTGACCACTGCGTTCAGCAGTGGGTTGACTTGCTGGATTCGGTCAATGTAAGCCTGCACCACCTCCACACTGGACACCTGCGCACACATGAATGAGCATGGAGTCGTGGAAAACGCACGTAAATGTGAACCCAAAGACAGATTTCGCATTGCTCAGTCGCAATTCACGGCGTGACTGAGCGCGAAATGGTTTTCCACCACCAGGAACGAGCCCGGAGCCCCACGTTCACCTCTCGTCGTCGGATCCTCCCGGCGAGTTGCGTCGCTGACACGGCCAGGAGCGGGTTGCTGACCGGAGGGAGCTTCCTCTTGTTCTCGGTGGGCCGCGCACACAAGAAACGATACAAAATGAAGCAGACGGCCAAGAAGGCGTCGAAGAGCAATTTCTGAATCCGTTCGATGCCAGTCAGAGCCATGTTGACAACAACAGTCAAGTCCGACCGGCTTCAAGCCTCCTTTGCAGCACGTTAGGAATTAAGTTAACAGGCCAATCAGCGTTGAGTGTGGCGATGGCTTGTGACGTCATTTAGCGTCGCTGAGAGCACGCACGACCGGAATTAGCGCAATAAAAGTAAGAGTGTTTACAAAATAAAATATCCGGGGCTGGATTTCGAAGCCCGGGAGCCTACCTCGGCCGACTTCGGGCAAGTGGCAGTCGCAGGACCGGACACACCAAGACAACACAACAAGCATCCGTGGAAGGAAAATTAAAGTGTAACCTTGACCTGGCTTGTAGCTAACTGACTGCCAAATTGGACAAATGTTTTACCACTGGATCTAGAAGCAAATTTACAAGGATGAAAACACTAACTGAAGATTAATTTGGGATTTGAGTCAAACATTTTTCATTTTCTATGCCAGTGACAGACAGTACAATTAAACCGCTCTTCCACTAAATGGCAGGAAATGTGCCTTGGTTCAGTGAAGATTTGGAAACATTGAATTCCGCAATACTATGGATGGAGGCAAGGCACATTCTCTCCTCCAGGGAAGCTCGTCAATTCACTTCAACATAGTTCCTTGGCTCCAAACCACTACTTATGTCTCGACGAAACTCTTCAACCCACGTCAACATCAGAGCATGCCACCCAAATGCCACAAGATGGGAGCAAGGTTTTTTACCTTTGCCGAATTGGATCTCCTCGAGTGACTTCAATGTACAGTACAGTACTTCCCTGGCCCTATGATGCCACAAGATGGCGACAAAGTAATATGTAAAATGAAAATCGCCAAAACCCTTCTAAATCCACTTTTGTCTGATGTGTCCGTCTGGAACTCATTCTAACGAATAAGGTGAAACATGAAGTGACCCGAGTTTAGAAAACTCGCAACAGACATTGTTTTTCACCCGGGTACAAACCGGATGTGCGGCCTTTTAATTAGTCGACAGGAGGAGAAAGACTTCTGGCTATTGACACTGAAATTGGACATTAATCAAGTTCTCTGATCCAATCTACGCGGATCCCTTGGCCGTGTTTGTCCAATGTAGAAACACTGATGACTTAAAGCTTTTTGATGGTCAACAAGGGATAACGGTAACCTGCTTTCTCACTCTAAATGTGGCTTCTCAGTGACATTTAAAGAAGAAGGGTTGGTGGGTTCTCTGTCAGTTATTATTGTAAACTGCAGGCAAATCCAACATTCAGTTCAATTAATAAGTAATCGGCTGCTGTAAATAATAAATGCTGTGTAATATTTTCTAGAACAATGCTGTGACACGTGTCCCCTCACCGCCCTTTCCTACAGAGCCTCAACAGGCTGATAAATAATGCAGCTCAAAGCTAAACATGCTTGGACGTCAGGTGACCATACAAGTTAGTTCCATCCATCCATTTTCCAATCCGTTTACAAGTTGTCGCGGGCGTGCTGGAGCCTATCCCAGCAGTCTTCGGGCAGCAGGGAGGGTACATCTTGAATTGGTTGCCAGCCAATCGCAGCGCACACTCACACCTCGGGACAATTGAGAGTTTTCCATTCACCTACCATGCATGTTTTTGGAATGTGTGAGGAAACCGGAGTAACCGAAGAAAACCCACGCACGCTCGGGGAGAACCTGCAAATACTACACAGAAAGACCCGAGCCGGAATCGAACCCTGCGCCTCTGCACCGTGAGGCCGGCGGGCGAACCAGTCAATACCGTGCCGCTCCAGGCTCGTTCCCCACGTTTGACATACATTTTCTCTTACGGTTGAAAAAAAAATATTTATTTTAATAATAACAGTAACGTGTTCTCATTTTAAAATTGTACACGGTTTTACTTGAATTAACAAATATGTTGATCAAATAAATTCTGAAAAACGTTTATGCAAATAAAAGGTAGTTTAAAAATAATTTTATTTCACCGTTTCCCCAAACAAATCTATAAAACGCCGTCATCGGAAAATAATTTATTATCTATTGAATAAGGAGTTGCTTAAAGGGCTAAATACATGAAAAATACATTGTAAATAAATGAGCTATGTTAGGGAAAAACGTCTTCTTCAACGTGCCCTTTTATGACGTCATTAAAGAGCGTCAATCATTTCAAGCAAGTCCAAAATGACGGCTCTTGCTGTGTTTGTTTTGTCAAAATGTTAAACAATTAAATTTAACTGCGTCCATGCGTGCGTGCGTGCGTGTGTGTGTGTGTGTGTGTGTGTGTCTATATGTGTGTGTGTGTGTGTGTGTGTGTGTACAGTATACAGTATACAGTATACAGTATATATATATATATATATATATATATATATCTCAACCTCAAGAAAAAGGTTCCGTCTGAACACTGTGCGTAGTCACGTGAAGAGCAGCCTTCCTACCCGGAAGTGGCACCAAAGCAAACAGACGAAGCGCCTCCAGTCGTCAACTCAAGCACCGTGGCGGAGGTAATCATGACATTTGTTTTGACCGTATTTCCGGCAGACTTGTTGCAATTCAAAGCGCGCGCGGACACCGGTCATGTTAAATTGGGGGTGGGGGACGTCACGTGAGCAGCAGCCCCACCCCCCATCGTAAAAGCCGGCGCTCCCCTCCTCATGTGCAAACGACGACACAGTGGTGTCGAGTGGGGCCCAGCGACCTGTGGCGGCCTTCGCTTGGACGACAGCGGGCAACTGGGGGGCGGGGACGGGCACGGGAACTACCTTGGGCTGCCGAGGACGTCGTTCTTGGATTTTAGTCATTTTGTTTCAGTGTTTTTGCTGCGGGTGAGTGACGTCCGTTACATGCACGCGTCGCTTCTCTGACTTGAGGCCGTTTCCGTTTGCGTCGCCGTTTACGTTGTGGAGGCAACCGAGCTCCTCAATTGACGAGGCAGCCGCTTGGTTGAAAGGGGACACTGCTTCCAATCAATCGAATCACCCCCACTTGCACGCCGCCCTCTTTTCCCCTCCGTCCGGAACCTCCATTGGATCGATTTGAAAGCATGTGTATGTGCGTGCATGCAAAATACGGCCGCTAACAATCTGCTGAGTGCAGATAACGCCGACAACACTCTTTTTTTTCCCAGCTCTCGTGGATGTTGTGCCTCCGAAACCAAATGGCGGGCAACATTTTTAGAATGTCTTTTTTCGTAATATTCATGGATTTATTAACTATTAATTCGACCAACTATTGTATGAGATTTATAAAAACCTTGCTTCATGTACATGGAATGTTACTCATGAGATATCGTTCAATGAACCATGGAAATCTGTTGAAGTGAGTTGAGGAGTTTCTTTTAGAGTGAAGTAGTGCGTTACCGCCCCATTGCCAGATCATGGACCCAAAGAACCACGTTTCAGTGGTTTGAGGAACTTCATATTGACCAATTAAGTGCTTTGCTCTCATCTTGTGGTTTCTTCGTGCTCTGGAACAATGTTGACGTGAGTTGTGTTTCGTTCAGACAAAAGTAGTGCTAGTCCAGCATCTTGGTGCCAGGGATCTAGGTTGAACTGAGTGGAGGAGCTTAGTTTAAAACAAAAGTAGTACTTTGCCGCCATCTTCATCATCTGAAACTGGATTGAACTGAGCTTCATTCAGACAAAAGTCGTGCTCTGTACTACTCTGTTAATGTAACAATGATCTGAAGTGCTACTGTATGCATTGAGAGCGAATCAAACCGGCAACAACTTTAAAAAAAATTAAACCTGGTGTTGATTTTGTGGCTCCAAAACCAAGGTGGGGTTGGGGCTGGTTTCTCACTCGATCTGTTTCATGCCATTTGATGAGTCATTGAATTGCCTGATTTTGATGTGTCGCAGCCCTCAACTGGACCGGATCGAGCCGCAACCGTGGAGGGGAGCCGACATGGCACACGTTAACGCCACCCCGACCCAACTGTGAATCCGCAGTCCCGCTTCTGTCCCGAAATGGAGAGGGTGGAGCCGGAACCGGAGAGCGAGGCGGAGCCACCCATGCACGGCGTGCACGGTTCCAACCGGACTCGGCCGTCCTCCTACCGGGCCCTGCGCAGCGCAGTGTCCAGCCTGGCCCGCTTGGACGACTTCAGTTGCGAGAAGATCGGCGCCGGGTTCTTTTCCGAGGTGTTCAAGGTCAGTTCCTCAAGCGCGATCCATGGCAACCAGAACTTCGCTCAGAAGTTCCCTGTGTAAAGTGGAAGCACGACTCGAGTACCCAAAGTCAGCTGGGATTGGCTGCGGCTCACCCGCAACCTCATAAAGAGCAAGCCCGACGGAAAACGGATGGATGACCTGATAAGCAATTGCCCTATGAAGGATGCGCCATTAAACAAACCCCATTACAGTGGCCCGCTCCCTCAAGCGGTGTCCATTTTTGAATAGCAAAACGAGCAGGCAAATGTCAGCGCCTTAACCGGCTGATGCTAGTGCGCAAGTGCGGGTGTCGGTATTTCTAAGCTTGCACTTGTTTTCTTGATTGCGTGTTGTTGTGCTTTTGGGAAGGACTCGGGGTTTCCGGTCTATCGTGTTGACACGAATGAGCGCCAACATGTAGGCTTGATCTCTGGCAAGGCCGCTCCCTCGCCTGAAGGTAACGTTTTAATGGCTGATGTATCTGAATGGGTGTGCTCACTCTGCCACATTGGGGCTCTTGAGAATAAATGTGGGCCGAATGCATCTTTACAGATTGAATGATAAAGCTTCCGGGATTGACCCCTGGGGTACCCCACAGTTCATCGCCATTTTGTTCTGTGGCACGGTTAACAATTTCAGCATAGCAGGCCCTGTCCTCGGAAAATAAGACTTGGACGAGTTTAGATCGGGATCAGAGATTCTCACCTGGTGTTGTAAATTCTGTAATAAGATCATATGTGTGGCAAGTGGTTATTTATTTATTTATTTATTTATTTTTTGTCTGGGGGAGTGTGTGCTGTTTTGAAGTGTTGCAATTGTATCACGGCCGCAGGTCACGTCGTGTTTCTGAGAGTGGGACCTCCCATGTCTCTGCAGTGTGCTGGAAAATGGACTTTTTATTGGCTGGGATACAAATAGGCCTGCCCACCCATCAGGTGTGAAATTAAACAGCTGAGTGTCAGGCTGTAATGTATGTTTGTGTGCGGGAGACTTGCTGTGCGTGTGTGTGTGCGAGACTGGAAAGTGCATTTGTTTGTGTGGCCATGTCTAAAATGCGTGTGGGGAGGTGAGAGACTGGAAGGTGTGTGATATTGGGTGTGTGTGAGAAAGTGAAGTGTGC